TTTGAGTTAATATTCATATAGGATATAAGATAGGAGTCCAGCTTCATTCTTTTGCAACATGAACATCCGCTTTTCCCAGAACCATTTCTTGAAATGTACAATTATTTTCTCATTTAATGGACTAGGTACCTTTTTCAAGAATTAATTGATCATAGATATATAGATTTATTTCTGGACTCTGAATTCTATTCTTTTGGTTTATTTGTATATATGTCAGTATCACAGCGTTTTGATGAATGTAGCTTTGTTGCAAAATTTGAAATTGGGAAATGTGAGTCCTCTAATGGTTTATTAAAATTATTGTTTCTTTTCAATATTGTTTGCCTACTTTGGGCTCTTTGCAGCTCTATTTCCTTTTTTTCAAAAAAGATTTTTAATGGGGAATTGGGGGATGGGAACAGCACTGGGGAATTGGGGAAAGGGGAACAGACAAGTTGCTGTCCTTTTGTTCTTCAGTCTAGTTGTGGAGGATGTTGCTTCACTGGCCCAAGTTGGCACCATCATTGCGCTCTTCCCGGGCAAGGCAGATCTGTCGCCAGCTTCTGGACGGCCACTCACTGCGGCTGCTGGCCGCTCACGCTGGCTGCTGGCTACACATGGTAGCCCATGGCAACCCACTGCAGTAGGGGCTGCAGCCTATGCCATCGCCAGCAACTCACAGCAGCCCAGCTCCAGGTTGAGCTGTTGCTCAGCATCTTAGCTGTGGAGGGCAGTGTCACTGGCCCTCATATGTGGGATCCGAACCAGGGCCTTCTGGCGTCCCAAGCCAGTTCTTAGACAACATGCCACTTGGCTGGCCCTCCATTTGCTTTTTGATTGGCTTTTCATTGCTGCAAAAAAGGGTATTGGAATTTTGATAGAGATTGCATTACTGTTGTAAATGGAATTGGTTTCTTAATTTCTCTTTTGGATTAATAATTGCTGGTTTATGAATGTTGATCTTATATCCTGTAACTTTCCTGAATTTATCAGTTTTAGCACTATTTTGTGGATTCTTTGGGATTGTCTATATAGGGTCGTGGTGTCTGTGTATAGAGAGAGTTTTACTTCTTTTTTCAATTTAGAAGCTTTTCATTTCTTTTTCTTGCCCAATTGCTTTGGCTAGATCTTTCAATACAATGTTGAATAGCAGTGTTGAAAGTGGGCATCCTTTTCTAGTTCCTGATCTTAGGGGGAAAACAGTCAGTTTTTTGCCATTGAGTATAATGTTAGTTGTGGGTGTTTCATAAATGCTCTTTATCATATTTGGAAATTCCCTTCTACTGCTAGTTTTCTGTGTGTTTTTACCATGAAAGGATACTGAATTTTGGCAAATGCTTTTTCTGTATCAGTTGAGATAATCATGTGGTTTTCCCTTTTCATTCTGTTAATGTGGTGTTGATTGTTTATGAGTTTATTATTTAATTCCACATGTTTTTGACCTGATGATTGTTTAAGAGGTTATTGTTTAATTCCACTTATTTGTGAATTTCCAATTTTCCTTCTGTATTTTGCTGTATAATTTTATATTCTATGTTGGTTAGAAAGATTGTTCTCATTGTTTTTAAATGTGTTGAGTCTTGTTTTGTAGTTCACATATGGTATATAATGTAGAATGTTCCATGTGCACTTCAGAGGAAAGTGTATTCTGCTTTTGTTGGATGGAGTCTTCTATAAGTTGGTTGAGTTTAGTTGATTTATAATGTTGATCATAAGCTGTTCTAATTTTTCTTCATTCTTTTTTCATTCCACTCCTCTGATGTATAATTTCAGTTGTCTTGTTTTTTGGTGGCACTGTTTAGTGTACACTAGAGTACAAAGTAAAAGCTTGTTTCATGTCTGTGTATTTTAGTATAATATGCGTCCTTTCTCTTATGGGGCATGCATACTGCTGACGTTATGGAGAGCTTTTTCATCAGCCTACCCATGAGGAAAATTAAGATTGTCTTGCTGTGTCCCAGGGAAATAGTCAAGACTTTTAAAAAGAGAGAAAATAGAGAACAAAAGGATATGTCAGGCATATACACAACTGTGTTATTGGCAAATAGCATGACTCCTTTATGAATGAGTGATTTTCTGAAAACTATCTTAAAGAATTATCTTTTTCTATGGGGCATTGAATAAGAGAGTTTTTTTTCACATATAAATAGAATTTTTGGTTCTGTCAAGTCTTGTTCGGTCAATTCTAAATTGAGCCTTCATAGCATTTGTTTTGTCTACTTCTATTGAAGGCTTTCTGCAGGAAGAATCTCAGTGGTGACATTGTATGGATGCCAGTGAAATGATCAGAATTCAAGTTACTAGTGTACCAGTAGCTATAATGAGCTGCTAATTGAAGGTGACAAGCTGTTTTTTCCTTCGCAGCTGGCCTGGCAAAATGTTAGATTTCATTCATTATTAACTCATTGCTTCTCAGCAGAGGACTGTTTTAATTAGTTGGAAACATTAAGAATAGAATTTTTGCCTTGTGTCAGTTTTAGAGATTGAAGTTCGGGTTTTACTAGAACCTTCCCCCCACCTCCAGTTTTGCCAGTTGTATACAGTTGTGAAGTACCCAACATAATCAAGACACAGCAACATTTCCATCACCCCCCAAAAGTCTTTCATGCCACTTGGCACTCTATAGTTTCCTTCCTCCCCTGGCCCCTGACAACCACTGATTTGCTTCTTGTTACAACTTTTCCTTTCTAGCTCTTCTTTGAAAAGGACTCATACAGTAGGTAAACTTTTATGTCTGGGTTTGTTTTTTTCCACTTCGTAATGGTTTTATATGTTGTTGTATGAATAATTTGTTCTGAGTAATATTCTGTTGCATCAATATATCACCATATATTGATCCATTTACCTATTGGTTGCCATTTAACTGTTGTTGTCATTATGGATAACAAATTACAATGTTTTTGAGGGACCTCCATACTGTTTTCCATAGTGGCTGCACCAATTTACATTCCCATCAGTGGTGCACAAGGGTTCTCTTTTATTCACATCCTGCCAACATATATCATTTCTTGTTTGTTTTTTTTTTTTTGGATGATAGACATTCTAACAGGTGTGAGATGATAGCTCATACTACCGTAATCATTGTAGCTTAATAAGTTCCATACATATAAAGTTCTCCTATTTTTTTTTTTTTGCACATTTTCTTTTTTAAAGATTTTTTTTATTGGGAAATTGGGGGATGGGAACAGTGCTGGGGAATTGGGGGATCGGGAACAAGTTGCTGTCCTTTGTTCTTCAGTCTAGTTGTGGAGGACGTTGCTTCACTGGCCCAAGCTGGCACCATCATTGCGCTCTTCCTGGGTGAGGCAGATCAGTCGCTGGCTTCTGGATGGCAGCTCACAGCGGCTGCTGGCTGCTCACGCTGGCTGCTGGCTACACACGGTAGCCCATGGCAACCCACTGTCACAGGGGCTGCAGCCTATGCCGTCATTGGCGACTCATGGCAGCCCAGCTCCAGGTTGAACTGTTGTTCAGCATCTTAGCTGTAGAGGGCAGTGTCACTGGCCCTCATATGTGGGATCCGAACGGGGGCCCTCTGGCGTCTCAAGCCAGCTCTTAACCAACGCGCCACTCGGCCGGCCTGCACATTTTCTTGAAGATTTTAAAATTATCTTGTCGTTGAATAGGATGATAAGAATAGACAGTTTTACCTTGTTCATAATCATTTGGGGTTTTTATATCTGTGCGGGGTTTTGGTAGATGCCTTTCATTAGGTTGAGGATGTTCTCTTTTAGTCAGCAACCTTGTATTCCTGAGATAAACCTCATCTGTATTGCTGAATTTGACTTGTTAATATTTTGTTGAGGGATATTTATGTATATTCATAAGACTATATATATCTATATATCTGTAGTTTCTTGTGAGTCATTTGTTTAGTTTTAGGTGTTAATGGTCTCATAAAATCAGTTGGGAAGTGACTCCTTTTCTACCTTCTGAAAGAGTTAGTGTAGGATATGTAACCTTTTTTGTTTCAGTGACTGATAGAATTTACAAATTGTATTTTCATTGAATTTTACTTGCTCCTCTTTTCCTAATGTGTTCATCTGTTCTAGTGTCAAGAACATAGTGTGTTAATTACTATACCTTTATCATATAAGTGTTATGTGAAATGCATCTCCATATACATTTTAGAATGAGGTCTCATTCCTGGTAGATTTTGGATTAGGGTTGAACTTTATCCGTTTGGAAAGTTTACCGGCCTATGATCTATACTTCCCCTTGATTTTGGTCTTGTGTTGTTTGTTCTTTTTTGTGTGTAAATATATTGAAATCTTTCCTTGCATTTATTCCAAGGTATTCAGTATATTCATATATTCAGCATATGATTTTGTTTTAAATTTTCTTTATAGTTGTTTGTGCTTAATTTATAAAAATACAGGTGCTATTGTATCTAGTGACCTTGGTATATTCAGACATTTCTAATAGTTTGTCTTTATTGTGGGGTTGTCTGTATATAGATTTCTACTTACGGATTTGTATTACTGGGTTTTATTCTTATACAGTCATGTTATCAGAAAATAATGACAGCTTTATTTCTTTATTGTAGTAATAGTACTTTCTTTTCGTGCCTTATGTACAGGACCTTCCAAACTATGTTGAATAGAAATGGCGATAATAAGTATTCTTGCCTAGCTTCTAATTTTAGGGTGAAACCTTTCAGTATTTTACTATTATATGTGATTGCTAGTTTTTGTTTGCTAGTTTTAAAGTTGTTATTCTTTATCAGATTAATGAATAGTTTTTAAATTTTATCAAGTGCTTTTCTGCTTTTATTGAGATAATGTTATGATTTTTCTTATCTATAGTGTTCATTTAGTGAGTGCGTTTCACTGTTTTTTCTTCCCCTAATTTTGCTTCCCTGAAATGAATTGATTGGGATACATTATGATTTTTCTATAGTTCAAATCAGTTTGCTAATATAATGTTACTACGGGGTTTTAAGATTATGTTAATAAGAAAATGTAGAGTTTACTGACTGTGTCCCACCTTTTGAAAAATAATGGCATTTGTCTTTTTTTTAGCACTAGCCCACCTTACTGTTGTGTGGATCTACATTCACTTCGTACTGGGGAGATGGTCAAGTCCATTCAGTTTAAAACACCTATCTATGATCTCCACTGCAACAAACGGTAAGCATCTTTTCATGTGTTTCTTGTACATGAAAACATACCTCCTGGGCATGTGGAGCTCTACCAATGCAATCGACTATCTTGGGTTTATTTTTTTTAAAAAAGTTGTGAAAACACCTTCTGAATTGTGCCAAATGGAGTAACTCTGAAGATTTCTTAATGAAGTTTTCCAACTTCCAGTCTTGACCCATTAGTGAATTGTGAATTAAGTTTAGTGAGTCGTAACCAGCATTTTTAAAATGAAATGGAAAAGAATAGAAAGCGTCTGAGGAGACGTAAAAAGGTTATGAGGAATGATTTTATATGTGCCTCATAACTTTTTAATATATGTAATATGTGTGCTTCTATGTGTTTACTTGGTTTATGATGTGAAATGTAATTTCCCTTTTAGCATTTATCAAAACAAAGCACATTTCTGAACTGTAAAAATTTCCCCCTCATCCTTAAGACTTTACAATTGAGCTAACAAAGACACTAGATAGATTCCCCTTCGTTAAATCTGGGAAACTTTTCAGATCTGAATTAAACTTCTACCTGACCTAGTGATAATGGAGAATTAGTTTATATAACTACAGAACATTAAAGGAGAAAGGGACCTTAAGAATCTTCTATTACTTAACACTTTTACATTTTACTTACTCTTGCTTTTGAGCAAACTGAGGCCCTTTGATGGTAAATGCCTTGATCAAGGTCTGGATGCAAATTCTAAGTCTTCCATTACACCAAAAAGCAAATCTCAGAACATGGAAAATGAAATATTTTATGCTATGTCAATATACAATTTACAATAAAAGGCTCAGTTTAGATTTTAAAGGGATATTTCAAGTAGTGACTCAGAAAGGTTGAACGTAATAGGAAGGGTAGACATACCTGATTAATACAAACTAAAGAGCACATGGGCTTTGGTACTAATGATAAATGTATTTGAATTCGAATATAAAAACATGAAACAGGACAAGGAAAAGCTGTTCAGTGATAGTATGCAATTCATAATGAAGATCTAATTATTATGCATATTTGTACTTCAAATAATATCAAACTCAAAATTATAGGAAATAGTAGAAATACTTATTGCTGGGATAATGTAATTATCCAATGACACATCAAATTATTCAGTCAACATTATTCAATGAGTGGGTCCAGTAGATGGTATATTTAACCTGGAAAACTGTAATGATAGCTCTTCCTTAAGAGTTCTTTCTGCTGTCACAAAGTGGATACCGAATTTTTTAGCCAAAGAGAAACTTTGAACACCTTGGAAAAGGGAGAGAAGTACAAATACGATTTTTAGATCACAATTTACTTGTATTACAAATATATAAATATACTAGAAAACAGGAAAAAAATTGAAATTAAATTAAAAAAAGTATTTCTTACATTATTTTTAAAAAACTGCTGCAAAATTGGGTTTTTCTCAACTCTGCACTTGTTTCACTTTACTGTGTTTCTGGATGATGCACATGAAAATACAGTTAGGATTGACTTTTCTTACAAGAAATATATTTTTTAAAATTTTGGCCATGAAATAATGAATGTATTCAATATTTTAATCGATATAAATTACCTTGAAAATTAAGACAGTGTACTTTTCAGTCAGTGTGCTCATTGTAAGTAATTAATGAATATGAAAGTTGTGAGTGGGAGTAGAAGCAAATAGGAGAGTGGTTTATGAATATGAAATGTCATCAGTGAAAAATGGAAATGAAACTCTAGGATATTTGGTTGATGTATGGTTCATATTTTATTTAGTTTTTTATTTTTGAAAGAAAAGTTATATGAAGATATGTTCCAACAACAACAACAAAAAAATCTCTTGATTTGGATACAATATGTAATTTCTTTGGAATTGCTTTTTCAATTAGAAATTGTATAAGTTCAAATGTGGTGAAGGTTAGAGGAAAAGCTATTATGTGGATGTCAGGATTCTGCTTAGATTTTGGTCTATAAAATGTGAAATCTGATTGGCCAGATCTTTCCCTGGTTAATTTTGCATTTGTGTTTGCAAATCAGATGTGTGGCATAATTAGTCTTTTGAATTTACCAATATTCATAATAAATTAAACCTTCCAGTGGAAATAATTTTGTGTGTTACTATGTTTTGGGGAGGGGCTACTGGATTATATGAAAACGTTTTCATCTCTGATTTGTCTTTTCTGCATTTTCCCTTATTTGAGTTTGTCACCTTCTCATTCTGCATTCTCTAAGCCTTTCAACTTGGGTCTGATGATTGGTTGGTTTCTTATGTTAAGTGCCATGACAGAATAATTTATTATGTGTTGTCAGCTGTGTTAAGGATTAATAAAACATGCATGTTAAATACAACTTTAGCCCCCCTCATCATTAACATACATTACTCAGATTTACCTCCTCCAAATTTTGAAACATGCACTCTGAGTATGTTAAATATTTAACAATAATTATAATTTTTTATTTGATTTTTAAAAAATAACTTTGAAATTTGGCTGTGTATATTAGTGTCCTGTCAGGAGCCAATACTCTAAAATGTAGTTTTAGTTTATAAAACAACTTCATTTGGGATGTATTTTAGGAATTTTGGTTTAAAAATTTTTTTATAACTAAATTATTTTCCTATTATTTATAAATCTTTGGTTCTGGGAGAAATATAGTTCATGCATAGTCTGATTAAATTTTAATATATTGAGTCAATCAGAAATGACTAATTTACACTGAGTAATCATCTAAGTTTTCTTTTTCCCTTTGTGTTGGGAAATTCAGTGACAAGCTACATAAATCCATTTTATGTTTAATTCTGTGACGTTGAGTCAGAAGAGGAAAAACACTTCTAGTAAATAGCCAGCAGTTTATTGATCTCATCTATTCTTAATGAAGATAGATTTATTTGATTTATAATGAGTGAAGATAAAATTTGTTTAGATGAAAAAATTTTTTGAGGTGTAGTTTGTTCTGTCACTTTTCTTCCTCTAATCATGTCTGTCTTGGTTATTAAGGATTTTGTGGTTATATTTTTATGTTTTATGAGGCTGATGTTTCTAGCCTAAATAGTATAAGAAATAATTTTATTTTTAAAATTGCATTCCCATTGATATATACTTGTTTAAATCTAGGTGATTTAACTTATATTCAATTTATAGAATTTCGCATTCACATTATTTCCCTCTAATTTTAGGATCCTCGTCGTAGTCTTGCAGGAGAAAATTGCTGCCTTCGATAGCTGTACTTTCACAAAAAAATTTTTTGTCACAAGTATGTACCAACTTGATATATTTCGTATCATATGCATTTGAGTTTATACTATTTACTTGATAGAATCAGCAAACTAATTGTAATCATAGCATCAGTATTTTATGGTTATAGATTGTTAGGATATTCCTGTGTTTCTGTGGATGTCTTATTTAGTACTGTAATTTTATGATATGTATTTTTAACCCATAACACATTTCTTCATATTACTAAGCAAGTCTTGTACTATATTGCTTCAGTTTCTTCTTATGTATTTCCCTTGAATAGTTGTAATTAATTTAGGTTCGTGTAGCTATGTTGTACTTTCAGAGCAGTTGTTAAATTAATTGTCATAACATACTTGAGGAGGTAACTGGATTATCGTACATGAGGGATTTGAAACTGGGTGAAATGTGTTGGTGTCTCTCTTTCTCTCTCTCCTTCTTTCCCCCATGTCCCATGACTTCTACTATTGACCAGTAGTGCAGAAATAAGCATAGAATCTGGATACCTACCCGCACCCCCTACCCCCGACACACACAGAGAGGGAGAAGGAGAGGGAGAGGGAGAGAGAGATTTGGTTGACATTGTTTTTTTTTTTTAAAGGAATTGGCTCATGCTGTTGTGGGGCAGGCAAGTCCAAGATTTGTAGGGCAGGGCAGCAGGATGGAAATTCCAGGAGGAATTGAGTCTGAAGAAATTTGGAGTTAGAGTTTTTTTTCTCACTACAGTCTAGTAAAACAGTAGTTTTCACCCTTCTCTTTTATGTTTTAACTTCTACAACTCACCATTAAAGCTATAACTTTTTTCAGAGAGTCTGATATGTATATGCTGCAGACATATTCCCATTGGAACAGATCTCAGTTTTGTTATGATTAGAGAATTCCAGTAATATTGCTGCATCTTCTGATTACAAGCTCACTTATTCATCACATGTTTGTTTACCTGATATATACTGTGTATTAAGCACTGGGTAGTAGACATTACTCTTTTCTGGTAACAGTTCATGTTGTTGATATAATTAATACATTATAGTCTATATGTAATTGCATATATTATATATTATACTACATATAGCATGTCATATAATAACTCATTATAATATATAGTTTATCATTTTGTAGACAATGAAGAATACAACTTATCTCCTTGAGCTTGTTATCATTTCTTTCAGAGATCTACAATACAAAGATAATAATGAAGATCATATTCATTGAGATAGTTTTTGTTTTATCACAAAGCCTAATGTATACCATTCACACATTTACATTAGTATCTCCAGCATCTTGGACATTGGCTGGCACAGTGTAAGCTCTCATTAAATATTTCTTTAACAAATGAGTACATTAACCTAATTATCAGTTATTTTATTGCTGATTAGAAATTTATTGATACTTTAGTAATTATTAAGTACAGATAACTAGACAGGATCTTCTATTGCTATATGTTAAATAAATTAAAAGTTTTGGGGGAAACATGTATTCATTAATAACATCTTCATTCACAAATGTAGTATATACATAATATGGGAAGCTATGTATATTACATGGCCTGTTTTAGCATATTAATTTTTTTCTTATACAGTTGTTATGCACTAATACAGGTCTTATATACTAATATATCATATTATATTTGTATTACTGATTATTATAATTTAAACAACGAGAGAAATAGAATCTATCTAAGGAACGATGTATGAATCTAACCATTTCTTTCAAGTATGTGGGATAAGGGTGTGGGGGGAGTCAGAGTATGAACATTTCAGACAGATTCACATGCTAGGTTTCCCTGAGAATTTGTCATCAATAGTCTTCTGCTGTTCATCATTAATCAAAGATATGTGAGTTTTGGCTTCTGGAAAGTCAGAGTATCTCTTTTCTGGCTCCATTTTAATTTTATTCTTAGAACCTATATTTCTTGATAGCCACTTTCACTTTAAAATCAGGTCAGGAGCAGAGAGCTATTTTTCTTCCCTCCCTCTCTTTTTGAGGATCCCTCTCTCCTGCCTTTATTATTTTTAAAATGCTAAAGAGCTCAAAGTTGTAAGTGTTGGATATGAAATGATAAAATACTAGAAGGAAATATGAAATAATTTATGTGAGACTAGAAGAAAGGTTGATCACCCTCAACTACACAAAAATAAAATGTAACTACAGGACATAAACGTCATAAATACAGTCATGATAAGAGACAAAATTTAAAACAAAAATTGTAACAGATGTTCATAGGAATAATTGACTTTGAAAGCTTCTATAATTAACAGGAAAAAAGTCAGTGACTCAATCAAAATAAGCAAAGACTATTAACTAATAATTTACCAAAAAAGGAAATATGAAAAGATGTTCACCTTAATTAAAAATTGAAATATAATATGTAAATTTTAATATATTTTGGTAGGGACCAAAATGTTTGACGATGCATGTGAATAGTTTAGGGTAGCTGGTGTTCTCATATACACTTGGTGAAAGTATAAAGTATATAATGTTTTATAGGAAGCAATTTGATGCTATCTACCAAAATCTAAATTGTATCTACTCTGACCCATTAAAGCATTGTTTTATTATTTATTTTTTTGTTTAAGTATATTTGACATACAATGTTATATTAGTTTAGTTGTACAACAGTGATTCAACATTTATATTATGTACCTTGCGAAGTGATCGCCAAGATAAGTCTAGTAACCATCTGTCACTGTACAAAGTTATTACGATATTATTAACGGTATTCTCTATGCTGTACATTATATCCCTGTGACTTATTTATTTTATAACTGGAAGTTTGTACCTCTAATTCCCCTTCACCTTTTTCACCCATTCCTCTCTCTCCATTCTCCTCTGGCAACTATTAGTTTGTTCTCTGTATTTAAGAGTTTGTTTTTGTTTTGTTTTGTGTGTTTATTTTGTTTTTTAGATTTTACATGTAAGTGAAATCATATGGTATTTATCTTTCTCTGTCTGATTTACTTCACTTAGCCTAATGCCTCTAGGTTCATCCATGTTGTCACAAATGGCAAGTTTTCATTCTTTTTTATGGCTAAGTAATATTCCATTACATGTGTATGTACACACACACACACACACACACACACACACACACATCTTCTATATCCATTCATCTATTGATGGACATTTGGGTTGGAATGTTGTAATGAACATAGGGGTGTATACGTGTATATCTTTTCGAATTAGTGTTTTTGTTGGATAAATACCCCAAAGGGGGAATTGTTGCATTGTATGGTAGTTCCATTTTTAATTTTTTGATTAACCTCTATACTGTTTCCATAGAGGCTGCACCAATTTGCAATCCCACCAACAGTGTAGGAGGGTTCCCTTTTCTCCACATCCTCGCCAACACTTGTTATTTGTTGAGCTTTTGATAATAGTCATTCTGACACATGTGAGGTGATATCTTGTTGTGGTTTTGATTTGCATTTCCCTGATGATTAGTGATGTTGAGCATCTTTTCATATGTGTGTTGGACATCTGTATGTATCTTTGGAGAAAGGTCTTTTCAGGTCCTTTGCCCATTTTTTAAAATAAATTTTTTGTTTTTTTAAGATTTTATTGGGGAATTGGGGAAAGGGAACAGCCAAGTTGTTGTCCTTCATCCTTAGTTGTGGAGGGCATAGCTAGCACAGCTCCAAGTCCGGCCGCTCGTAGAAAGTTCAGGGTAGCTCAGCTGAAGGTGCCGGTGTTCAATCTTAGTTGCTGGTGAGCATAGCCCACCATCCCACGTGGGAGTTGAACCAGCAACCTTGCTGCTAAGAGTGCATTCTTTGACCACTGAGCCATCCGGTCGCCCACCTACAGCTCAGGGCAGCTCAGTTCAAGGTGCTGTGTTCAATCTTAGTTCTGGGTGGGCGTAACCCACCATCCCATGCAGAATTCCCCATCAGCAACCTTGTTGTTAGGAGCATGTGATCTCACCAGCTGAGCCATCCTGCCACCCGTTGGCAGCTCAGCGGCAGCTCAGGTTGGGCACAGCTCACTGGCCCATGTGGGAATCGAACTGGCAAGCCTGTTGCTTAGTGCTCACGCTCTAACCAACTGAGCCACCCGGCTGGCCCCTGTTCTTTCTTTTTTAGTTAATATCCTCTAAGGACATCTTTGCCATATAGTCCTAAATGCTTCCTTCTGCATGGCTGGACCCACTGAATAGTTGAAACAAGTGTTATATTGTATTAGTCTCTCTTGTATTCTGTGACTTGTCCATGATAGGAAAAAGCGATCTGGACGTCTCAACAGTGTTTCTAGTTTAGCAGTCAGTTGCTTTATGAGTGCTGTGCAGCTTCTAAGTAAGTCCTGGTCAAGTGGCTTGAGGCCCAGGAGTGAATTTTCAGTAATTCCTGACTCATGAGGATTGTCATTTATTCTCTCAGGGTCATGTTTGGAAAATGATTCACGGTTTCGGGATTCCACAAGTCTATTTAGTGTGGTTCCTTAAATCTGAAAAGTATGTTCCTTAAAATGTTGAAAAATGGGGTAGTATAAAGGAATAACTGTTGTTTCTGGAGACAAATGATGGGAATAAGTGCAATAAACTATGTATTAAAACCCAGTGATGTCTTTTGAGGGCAGATGTTTAGAATATTTGTCAGAAGACAGGATAGAGCATAACCTTGGAGAATTGAAATGGAAGAGGGTATGAGAGTGGACTTTTGGAATTCTCTAATGTTCTGGGTTTGGGTGCTGCTTATATGTATGTGTATGTTCACTTTGTTGATTTGGGTACTTCTGTATGAATATTATATTTACATACATAATTTACATGAAGAGTTGAGAAAGCATCAACAACAACAAAAATTTGAAATTTCTCTTGAAAACTTGAAATTTGGAAACCCTGGAGACCACATTTATGCAAGTGATGCCAGGTTGGTAAAATTGATGATATCTGGCACATATTTTTATGAAGGAATTTAGCTTTCTTGAAATACAGATTCACTTAAAGTGATTTATGTCAACATTTTGAACAAAATTCAGCATGACCTAATATTTAAAATCAAGGAACAAATGGAGCTGTTTTCT